TAGGGAAACAGTTGGTTATCCAGAGGTGTTTAGGGAGGCAACGGGCTAACCCGACTAGAAGTGTCTATGGAGGCAACGGGCTAATCAGGGGTTTCTAGGGAAACAGTTGGTTATCCAGAGGTGTTTAGGGAGGCAACGGGCTAACCCGACTAGAAGTGTCTATGGAGGCAACGGGCTAATCAGGGGTTTCTAGGGAAACAGTTGGTTATCCAGAGGAGTCTAGGGAGGCAACGGATTAACCAGACTAGAAGTGTCAATGGAGACAACGGGCTAACCAGGGGTTTCTAGGGAAACAGTTGGTTATCCAGAGGTGTTTAGGGAGGCAACGGGCTAACCCGACTAGAAGTGTCTATGGAGGCAACGGGCTAATCAGGGGTTTCTAGGGAAACAGTTGGTTATCCAGAGGAGTCTAGGGAGGCAACGGATTAACCAGACTAGAAGTGTCAATGGAGACAACGGGCTAACCAGGGGTTTCTAGGGAAACAGTTGGTTATCCAGAGGTGTTTAGGGAGGCAACGGGCTAACCCGACTAGAAGTGTCTATGGAGGCAACGGGCTAATCAGGGGTTTCTAGGGAAACAGTTGGTTATCCAGAGGTGTCTAGGGAGGCAACGGGCTAACCCGACTAGAAGTGTCTATGGAGGCAACGGGCTAATCAGGGGTTTCTAGGGAAACAGTTGGTTATCCAGAGGAGTCTAGGGAGGCAACGGATTAACCAGACTAGAAGTGTCAATGGAGACAACGGGCTAACCAGGGGTTTCTAGGGAAACAGTTGGTTATCCAGAGGTGTTTAGGGAGGCAACGGGCTAACCCGACTAGAAGTGTCTATGGAGGCAACGGGCTAATCAGGGGTTTCTAGGGAAACAGTTGGTTATCCAGAGGAGTCTAGGGAGGCAACGGATTAACCAGACTAGAAGTGTCAATGGAGACAACGGGCTAACCAGGGGTTTCTAGGGAAACAGTTGGTTATCCAGAGGTGTTTAGGGAGGCAACGGGCTAACCCGACTAGAAGTGTCTATGGAGGCAACGGGCTAATCAGGGGTTTCTAGGGAAACAGTTGGTTATCCAGAGGAGTCTAGGGAGGCAACGGATTAACCAGACTAGAAGTGTCAATGGAGACAACGGGCTAACCAGGGGTTTCTAGGGAAACAGTTGGTTATCCAGAGGTGTTTAGGGAGGCAACGGGCTAACCCGACTAGAAGTGTCTATGGAGGCAACGGGCTAATCAGGGGTTTCTAGGGAAACAGTTGGTTATCCAGAGGAGTCTAGGGAGGCAACGGATTAACCAGACTAGAAGTGTCAATGGAGACAACGGGCTAACCAGGGGTTTCTAGGGAAACAGTTGGTTATCCAGAGGTGTTTAGGGAGGCAACGGGCTAACCCGACTAGAAGTGTCTATGGAGGCAACGGGCTAATCAGGGGTTTCTAGGGAAACAGTTGGTTATCCAGAGGAGTCTAGGGAGGCAACGGATTAACCAGACTAGAAGTGTCAATGGAGACAACGGGCTAACCAGGGGTTTCTAGGGAAACAGTTGGTTATCCAGAGGTGTTTAGGGAGGCAACGGGCTAACCCGACTAGAAGTGTCTATGGAGGCAACGGGCTAATCAGGGGTTTCTAGGGAAACAGTTGGTTATCCAGAGGAGTCTAGGGAGGCAACGGATTAACCAGACTAGAAGTGTCAATGGAGACAACGGGCTAACCAGGGGTTTCTAGGGAAACAGTTGGTTATCCAGAGGTGTTTAGGGAGGCAACGGGCTAACCCGACTAGAAGTGTCTATGGAGGCAACGGGCTAATCAGGGGTTTCTAGGGAAACAGTTGGTTATCCAGAGGAGTCTAGGGAGGCAACGGATTAACCAGACTAGAAGTGTCAATGGAGACAACGGGCTAACCAGGGGTTTCTAGGGAAACAGTTGGTTATCCAGAGGTGTTTAGGGAGGCAACGGGCTAACCCGACTAGAAGTGTCTATGGAGGCAACGGGCTAATCAGGGGTTTCTAGGGAAACAGTTGGTTATCCAGAGGAGTCTAGGGAGGCAACGGATTAACCAGACTAGAAGTGTCAATGGAGACAACGGGCTAACCAGGGGTTTCTAGGGAAACAGTTGGTTATCCAGAGGTGTTTAGGGAGGCAACGGGCTAACCCGACTAGAAGTGTCTATGGAGGCAACGGGCTAATCAGGGGTTTCTAGGGAAACAGTTGGTTATCCAGAGGAGTCTAGGGAGGCAACGGATTAACCAGACTAGAAGTGTCAATGGAGACAACGGGCTAACCAGGGGTTTCTAGGGAAACAGTTGGTTATCCAGAGGTGTTTAGGGAGGCAACGGGCTAACCCGACTAGAAGTGTCTATGGAGGCAACGGGCTAATCAGGGGTTTCTAGGGAAACAGTTGGTTATCCAGAGGAGTCTAGGGAGGCAACGGATTAACCAGACTAGAAGTGTCAATGGAGACAACGGGCTAACCAGGGGTTTCTAGGGAAACAGTTGGTTATCCAGAGGTGTTTAGGGAGGCAACGGGCTAACCCGACTAGAAGTGTCTATGGAGGCAACGGGCTAATCAGGGGTTTCTAGGGAAACAGTTGGTTATCCAGAGGAGTCTAGGGAGGCAACGGATTAACCAGACTAGAAGTGTCAATGGAGACAACGGGCTAACCAGGGGTTTCTAGGGAAACAGTTGGTTATCCAGAGGTGTTTAGGGAGGCAACGGGCTAACCCGACTAGAAGTGTCTATGGAGGCAACGGGCTAATCAGGGGTTTCTAGGGAAACAGTTGGTTATCCAGAGGAGTCTAGGGAGGCAACGGATTAACCAGACTAGAAGTGTCAATGGAGACAACGGGCTAACCAGGGGTTTCTAGGGAAACAGTTGGTTATCCAGAGGTGTTTAGGGAGGCAACGGGCTAACCCGACTAGAAGTGTCTATGGAGGCAACGGGCTAATCAGGGGTTTCTAGGGAAACAGTTGGTTATCCAGAGGAGTCTAGGGAGGCAACGGATTAACCAGACTAGAAGTGTCAATGGAGACAACGGGCTAACCAGGGGTTTCTAGGGAAACAGTTGGTTATCCAGAGGTGTTTAGGGAGGCAACGGGCTAACCCGACTAGAAGTGTCTATGGAGGCAACGGGCTAATCAGGGGTTTCTGGGGAAACAGTTGGTTATCCAGAGGTGTTTAGGGAGGCAACGGGCTAACCCGACTAGAAGTGTCTATGGAGGCAACGGGCTAATCAGGGGTTTCTAGGGAAACAGTTGGTTATCCAGAGGAGTCTAGGGAGGCAACGGATTAACCAGACTAGAAGTGTCAATGGAGACAACGGGCTAACCAGGGGTTTCTAGGGAAACAGTTGGTTATCCAGAGGTGTTTAGGGAGGCAACGGGCTAACCCGACTAGAAGTGTCTATGGAGGCAACGGGCTAATCAGGGGTTTCTAGGGAAACAGTTGGTTATCCAGAGGAGTCTAGGGAGGCAACGGATTAACCAGACTAGAAGTGTCAATGGAGACAACGGGCTAACCAGGGGTTTCTAGGGAAACAGTTGGTTATCCAGAGGTGTTTAGGGAGGCAACGGGCTAACCCGACTAGAAGTGTCTATGGAGGCAACGGGCTAATCAGGGGTTTCTAGGGAAACAGTTGGTTATCCAGAGGAGTCTAGGGAGGCAACGGATTAACCAGACTAGAAGTGTCAATGGAGACAACGGGCTAACCAGGGGTTTCTAGGGAAACAGTTGGTTATCCAGAGGTGTTTAGGGAGGCAACGGGCTAACCCGACTAGAAGTGTCTATGGAGGCAACGGGCTAATCAGGGGTTTCTAGGGAAACAGTTGGTTATCCAGAGGAGTCTAGGGAGGCAACGGATTAACCAGACTAGAAGTGTCAATGGAGACAACGGGCTAACCAGGGGTTTCTAGGGAAACAGTTGGTTATCCAGAGGTGTTTAGGGAGGCAACGGGCTAACCCGACTAGAAGTGTCTATGGAGGCAACGGGCTAATCAGGGGTTTCTAGGGAAACAGTTGGTTATCCAGAGGAGTCTAGGGAGGCAACGGATTAACCAGACTAGAAGTGTCAATGGAGACAACGGGCTAACCAGGGGTTTCTAGGGAAACAGTTGGTTATCCAGAGGTGTTTAGGGAGGCAACGGGCTCACCAGACTAGAACTGTCTATGGAGACAACGGACTAACCAGGGGTTTCTGGGGAAACAGTTGGTTATCCAGAGGTGTTTAGGGAGGCAACGGGCTAACCAGACTAGAAGTGTCTATGGAGACAACGGACTAACCAGGGGTTTCTGGGGAAACAGTTGGCTATCCAGAGGTGTTTAGGGAGGCAACGGGCTAACCAGACTAGAAGTGTCTATGGAGACAACGGACTAACCAGGGGTTTCTTGGGAAACAGTTGGCTATCCAGAGGTGTTTAGGGAGGCACCGGGCTAACCAGACTAGAAGTGTCTATGGAGACAACGGGCTAAACAGGGGTTTCTGGGGAAACAGTTGGTTATCCAGAGGGGTTTAGGGAGGCAACGGGCTCACCAGACTAGAAGTGTCTATGGAGACAACGGTCTAATCAGGGGTTTCTGGGGAAACAGTTGGTTATCCAGAGGTGTTTAGAGAGGCAGCGGGCTAACCAGACTAGAAGTGTCAATGGAGACAACGGACTAACCAGGGGTTTCTAGGGAAACAGTTGGTTATCCAGAGGTGTTTAGGGAGGCAACGGGCTAACCAGGGGTTTCTAGGGAAACAGTTGGTTATCTAGAGGTGTTTAGGGAGACAGCAGACTAACCATAAGTGTCGAGGGAGACAATTGGCCAACAGGAAAAGTTTAGGGAGACAACGGGTTTCCTGAAGAGTTTAAGAAAGAAGTGGGTGATCCAGAAGTGTCCATGGAAACACGGGGCTATAGAGAATGTTTATAGGACAGCACCGCCAATAATAGAAACATAGGAAAAGACCAGTGTATGGGTCTTTGAATGACTTTAAATAATGATAGGGAATTCGAGTTTAAAAAAAAAGGTTATTGTACATATTTATTTTCATTACAGCAAGCACAATTTAGTTCTTAGGTTCGGTATGTGTGAACATTATTCCGAAGATTTAGAGTCATCAGGCAGTGGTTCCAAGCTCTTTAGTTCGCAGCCCTCAATATTGACGATAACAAATCCGTCTTCAGTAGCACAAGACGATTCAGAGACATCTTTAACCGGCACATCTTTAACTGACATCTCACAACTCTGGATAGGTTTAGGCGTACATGTATTTTGCGCTTGAGATTTTAGCTTGCTTAGAAAAGCACGTTTGCCTCTTGCCATAATTTCTTCTTTTCTCAAGAGAATATTCTCCTCTCGCGCTTTGAACTCGTGGATTTTAGCAGAAATGGAATCGTGTCGCGTGCGTTGACGCCCGCGGGCAAGCATCACTCTCTGTTCTACTCTTCGTGCATCTTCCTTCAGCTTTTTGTGATCTTTCGGCTCCCACAATTCTTTCTTTCGATGGAATGTGGACGTGCATGGTTGTTTTGTTACAGATTCTTTTTTCTCGACCTTTTCCTTCTTAATGGGCTTAATGGGTCCGTGGCAGACTTCTTTAAGAAAAGAGTTTGGAAGACGTCCGTTGAAAAGTAAAGTGACCAAGTAGGAGGTACCGTAAGACCAATAGTTGGGACTATATCCAGGATGGAGGCGGAGTTTAGCCGCGGATTTATTCCGTGCGGCAACAGGTGGTAGTCGGTCTCGAAATGCCTGCGCACACGAGGTGGCGAAAGGAAATGCTAATCCATCGACCTGAAACAAAAAAAATACATGAAGTTTAAGATGTTTTACATAAAATACGTATTCAATATTTTGTGGTATACTGAAAGCCACCGGTAGGTTTGACGTAAAGTTTGATTGATGGTGAAATTAATTACCCTATGGAATATTAGATATGTATAAATATAGCATCACGTAGTATTTTTCTGTTTGATTCTTGTTCTTCTGGAGGCCTTATGAAAGCAGAAATTATTAAACATTAATAATTGGGTAACTTTTGTTTCTGATTGATATTAATGATACTGTTGATATTATAGTTAGAGCATGTGTGTGAGTTACATGGTAATTGTGCTAGGTTTGAATATGAACAGTGAGATACGGCGCAAAAAGAAGCTGCTCGCATAATAACAGAATTTCCTTCGTGTGATAATTTACGTTTTCTAATCCATTTCTAATCCAAGACAATGAAGATATCTCCAACTGTTGTATCAGATTTATAACAATTTAACTCTTGAATATTGGCGAAAATAACCGTGACGCTCCATTTCGACTCACACCACACTTTATGCATTCTTCTATTCATCCAAAACTTTTTACTGTTTTTACACTTACCCCCGCCTATCTATAGTACTTTGTGCTTAAGTTTCAGGGATCGTGACTGCAATATTTTATATCCAAACTCAGACACCAGAGTAGTTCCCTTGTGAATGGTACAGTATGTAGAGCTATTTGGTTTGTTTGTGTTTTACGTCCTATTAACAGCTATGATCATTGAGATGATTTGGTTTGTTTGTGTTTTACATCCTATTAACAGCTACAGTCATGTATGAACGTGCCAGGGGTGGTGGAGGATAGCCGGAGTTACCAGAGAAAAACCACCGACCTACACGTAGCTACGGCCAGCACCTGGCGACTGCCCAACAAAGGCCTCGAACCCGCGACCCAGTGGTGGAGGGTTCATAGTACATATGTAGCAGAATGTCAGTCGCCTTAACCCTTTTAACTATATTTAGAATGCAAACTTTTTACGAATGAAAAGGTTATTCTGGTATATTCTAAATTCGTTGAGTCAAATTTGGAAATAATTTCAAATCCAAACAGCCGTTTGATTTCTTCATAAACAGGCAAAACAAAGGAAAATGTCATTTTCCGATATCCATTATATGATTGACATTTTACCGGACCCCAAATGGACTAGCAGTTTCATCTTAAATCTGTTTCAAATTCATATAGAGTTTGACGTGATTTACTAAACACACAATGTAATTATAGTACGTGTATCACTGCAGACTTTTTTTTAGAAAAATAGGCATGTGACCTAACGCCTTTTCACGTCAATCGGGCAATCGAACACCGGGCGTTTTGGTGGAAGGCGAAAGCGCTATCCTTTTTTTTTTTGCTGCCAGATCAGCTCCCACGTGGAAATGTAGGCATAATTTAATTCTTTCCTGCAAATGTAGTGTAAAACTCCAACATGTGTTTTTTGTTGTTATATAACGTTACGCTCAAAATAGGAAATACTGTTAGTTTCATTGCATTCATCATCACTTGTCTTTTAAATATAACGAAGACGTTGTCTTCCTCTCGTAAGTTTACAAGGATACGCCCTGAGGAGCATAAAGTGCTTAAAACGTTGTTAATTGACATAATTGACATAATTTAATATATGACAGGATGGTTGCCATAATATGACACATATAATTGACACGCAAACAACTTACCTGTCTGGTCCTGGTGGAGACGTTTGGGTGTAAAGAGCTGGGCCCGGGGATGTTAAGCGAGGGTAGAAGGACCTCCGTCATGGCTAACGGTCTCTACCGGGGGATGTCCCACGAGATTCACTTCCCATGGAACGTCTAAAACATCCATGTTTTAGCTTTGATAAGCTTACCAGCCATGTTGTCCTGCCCCGGAAGTTTCCAAGTAGCAAACCATGTGATTTGGGCTGTCCATTGTGACGTCATTGCCTCAGATGCATTGTGACGTCATCATCTTTGTTTGGCAGTCGGCGCATTAAACTGATAGCTTCTACTGGGCATAGGTAACATCAAACTACTAATATGATAAAAGTTTCTTAAAATCTGATTTAAATAAAATAGCTTTGTCTTGTAAATTTACATGTATAGAGGTGAAATAATGAAGACTCATCGTGGCGTCACCGAAATATGGCCGATGATAAGAAACTAATACAATTGTCTCCCGATGACAAACATTCGCCAACTAATAATAATTTTAAATCGTTCACTTCTGCGACGGTTCTGTACTTTAGAACCAATGTCCTACTGCAGGTAAGCCACATGGGAATTTCACGGTAATTAACCTTCTCTTAATTTTGCTTTGGATATAACTGTGGTCGTACTGGGCCAGATCCGGGTCAACTGGTTAGAGAGACCGTTTTGTGCCAAAGATCCGACCCGGCCTGCTCCCTGCATGAGGATTTACATTTTTAAAAACTGCTGTTTGTATCTATGTATAGTTATTCGTCGAGTTAAATTCAAATGCCACTGGTTAGCTCCCTTCATACACAATCAGCCAATATGCTCCTGACAATTCGCAATCGTTGGTAAGTTCCCTTTAGATATATATACCTATACCGTACACACTAAGCTAACTATGGCACTACATAATTCGTTGTAACTTTAACATCCGTTTTGAAAAGTTAAATACGTGCATATGATAAACTTCCTGTTCAAGAACTTCCTGTTCATCTAAAAGGCAAAGTATATAATGTAGTTTCAACATAGCATGGTGCCATATTTTTACATAGTTCTTTACATGTGCTTGCAATATCAAAGATATACTTCAGGTCAAAGGTCAGATTTTTTACCTGCAACAATTACGAAATATATGCAGGAAATAACGGTGGCTGATTTACGATATTTCATTGTTTCGTCTTTTCGACCCAAAACTAAAGAGGATACTTCATTAATAGTTTGCTCAGATGCCGTTCGTCCGTTTCCCTTTTTTCGCGAAATAGTCATAGATGGTATTGTGTTCTGTGACTAAGACTTAGAAATGCCGGAGTAATATGTTGGAACTGGACTGGGACGATCGCCATCGACCAGGTACGTAAGTCAATTGGTTTAAACGTCCGTCTAGAGGTTGGAGGTCCCGGGTTCTAATGGTTCGAATCCCGGTCTGGCCGTGTATTTATACTCAACAAAGCAGCCATTAACCACTACTTAAACCTATAAACGGTTTATCGACCTCCGACAGATATCATTTACCTCCTCCTTAATCTCATCTTTCTCACATGGATAATGCATTCCATCACATGAACTATAAATACGAGCATCTTTGCATATGATAATTTCTAAACCTTCCTGACACGACCTCCAGTTATCTGCGTCATAAGTTTCTGTTCGGAACCCGTCTGTCACCATTATTATCCCCCACTCCCCTTGAAAATGTCAAAGCCATTCCAGACACATTCCAGAACTCACGTCACGGTGTCATTCCAACGTTAAACAACTACATGCGTTGTTCACATATCGTCTGCTCATTTCGCTCTTTGAAACCCCCAATGATTATACATACGATTATTTTTACCGAAAGTCGATCTACACCACTTAAACGTGTCAAATTACTCTGAACACATTAGTTTAGGTCCAAATATAGTTGCAACAAATGTTCAGGTCCCTGTGATTGCGAACGCTGGAGAGACATTTTATATTTATATATATAAGTTGTCGTTTAAATTACTTGAACCGAGTGACACTGATACCGATATTTATTTTTTATTTTTAACGAAGCACCGGAGATTGCGCTTGTGAGAGCTTACTTCTTACTTCGCAGCAGACATCAAAAAACATCCGAAGTCCTGGTGATGGTTAAATATTTTTATATATTAAAGAAATTTACTACAAGTGTTTCTCAGTTACTTAGAAACTCTTTGTATCATTTCTTTTAAAGCTAGGTAAGATATTTAAGTGTCAAGTTTTTAACTTTTCAAATATGTTAAGAAAATTGAAGACGTAATCTCCCATATTTACATTTGCTCTGTATCCTTCCATTGTAATGCATTGCGAAGGCAAATGATGTTATGAGACTATAACAACATTTGCTATTGTAACGTCATCAATCTCTATTGTGACGTCATCAATTTCATTGGTGTCAACACTTGATTTGCTGGTCAAAAACTGTTCGAAATAACTAAATAAAGCATAACTACTCTATAAAAATGTAAATATAAGTAATGAATATTTTAGCAAATATTGTTATGATTATATAACACACATTTCTGTCGCTGATAAACTTACATAAAGCCCTACCAGACTTATGTGTTATAGGACCATAACAACATTTGCTAATACATTGATTGCTTAATTATAAGTTGAATTACAGAAACATCCGTACAATATAGCAGGCTGTAAACCTTTATCAAATATATCTAACTCACAATCAATTGACGAGCTGTGTTATCTTAATTTCATATGGCACGACACATTTCCTAAATCCTTTATCATATAATTCTTTGGTATTCCTTTGTGAAAATTTGTTTCTAGTCAAGCGAACTCCAAGATGCACTGTACTTAAAATTAATTTACTATTTTACCTTTCCCACCTGTTTCCGTTCTGGTTAAAGTGAAGATTATCGCTGCTTTAGTTTTATGAATATTGACTTTAAGACGCCATTTATTGGCATATTCATTAAACATGTTTAATTGTTTTGAATTTGGTTTGCTGAATCTGTGAGAACTATATCATCTGCATACAATAGCACATATACAGCTATATATAATCTGGGCATCCCATTTAACTAAAATAACTTTCTAAAACAAGTTTTAAGATAACATGTGTGTATGAGTACTTATAGAACGTATTTTAATACGTGTTTGTAGGTGGAGGGGAATTGTCGGTAAGGGTGACGGATAGAATGTTTTGTATCTTTATGTATTGGGAATTCATGCAACAATAAATACTTATTACATTTTATTACATAGCATACAAACTAAATAAAGTCATATTTGAAACAGATACGGTATACTTAAAGGATTTTGGCCACGATTTTTCATAATTTCATATTTTACGGTCATTTGATCATTGAATAACGAGCGTTATGATTAATTTGTCTGCAATCCCGTGAGAATTATAGGACAATAACTTTCCAAACTTATATTTCTGTTTTTAATTTCAGTTTTTCTTATATTTCCAATTTCATCCTTATTTCAAAGTCAAATTTCGCGTTATCTGTCAATGGGGACTGTTCTTGTGATGTCACGAGTACACGTACGCGACCGTTCCCGGCAAAAAATATAGTTTGTGGAAATAATCACAAAATCATCAATTTAATTTCAACAATTTAATCAACATATTCCACCGTGAGGATACTCTGCGTTCATACAACATAACTACCTAAATTGTTGCGAGTTACATTGATCGATTGTGGATTGGGTTCTTTAATCCTGTAGCACGGATGGGTTACTACGAGGGATGCGTATTGTTATTGATGTGGTGATTTTGTCTGGAGACGAAAGGTGAATTTAGCGATTGAAATATTGTAAGGAATCCGGGAGTAACCGTGTTTGTAAAATGAAGATTTATTTTGCGTTGATGTGTTATTTTCTGGCAGACGACATTTTTTTCGTGACGTCAATAATACACTTAATAAAGTGACGTCGATCAAAACGACGTCATTTAGACACGACATCACGAACATGTTCTTCATATCACTACATCAATGGGAATGATGTGAGAATTATGACCTAATATCTTTCTATTTTGTTTGGTAAGGTTACATAGTGGCAATGCAGAGCAAATGGAAATATATATATACTACATGGCTTTATACATGTATGTCTCTGATTTGAAGCAAAAATATATGTAGTGTCTCTCTCCGTACTCAGATGATGGACAGGTCAGGTGATGCCCATCTATACCTGCACATTTTGAACGTGTTACAAGGTCACATGATGTGTGACGTCATAGTGGCACAACTTATCCGATATCCTGATCATTACGTGTACACATTATGACACTTTTTTACATATATACTGGTATATTAACTGCATAAAGGGATTGAACGGCGATTTTTTTTTATTTTATTTTTATGCCGGTATGAACGTAAATCTGTTACACCCATATTGCATCTCATGTTTAATATGGATGTAACCGATTTGCGTTCATACCGGCATGAAAATTAAAATACGCCGTTCAATCCATATATTTACATTTTTACTGTAGAATAATTGTTCAACTTTTTATTTATTTGTCTTAAATCATTTATTTATTTACTGCGTTTTGCATATGCGTCGTACTTTAAACGACATTGAAGAACAGCCCTATTTAACTAAAATTGGCGCCAGTAATTAACCATAGTCAATTGAGCGTTTGACGCAGGGGCATATTTTACTATAGAACATTTGTTTAACTTTATTTATTCGCCATGATATCCGAAGGTTATTCTATGACGTCTTAAGTAATCAACGTGTTACGTCACGAGAGTTTTTTACTTTCATACTCAAACGAAATGCATTTCTGCTGGTAATGTTCATATAGTTGGTTACAGCGCAAATGTAAATATAAAAGTGTAAGTAATGACATCAACCAGAGACGTATAATACGTCGCTGCATTAACCAATATCTATGTTGTATGGGTAAAATCATCAATCGACAAATAATCACAGAAATATAATCCGTGCCTGCATCAACTTCATTCAATGTAACTTCAAGATGAGAGACAGTAAAACACAGTTTAGTAAACACCTAAATATCTTACCTTTGAATTAAAGGGTATGTTAATTACCTGTATGTGTTACCACGTAATATATATAGCCAAAGGGCATTTACGACACCCACGGGTGTTACCTGTGAATGTCATTTCCAAAGGGCATTTATTACTAATCAAGTTCAAGTTCTTTATCAACTTTAAGTCTTGCGACTTATCAGTGTAAACATATACTAAACAGGATATTTACATATGTACAAAAAGCCACACTG